TATATATATAATTCTTTAAATATTTATATTTGAACTTAAAATAAAATTTAAAATTATTTTTATAATTTTTATCTCAAATTATATAAATATTTTAGCTTTTATATTTTTAAATTATAGATATATAAATAAATAAAAATATTTTTATTATATAATATGTATTTTTTTTTATTTTATATTATATTATATTATATTATATTATATTATATATATTATATCAGTCTTTTTATTTAGTAGATATTTCATTTTATGAATTTTTCTATTAAATTACATCTATTTAATTTTCTATATTTAGATTATCATGAATTTCATTATTTTAACATTTAACACAAAGACATAAAGACGTACATCTGACATTATATTAATTACAAACACAATATTTTTTTAACAAAATGAATTTTTACAATTACATCCTTTTATATGAATATTATTTATAATAACAGGTTTAAAAGCATCTTTTACTTTTTTTTCTTTCTATGAATAACTTTTTATCTTTCATCTTAACATGCCTTTATATTATGACAATTATTACATTTGCATTCATTATCACAATATTCTCCTCTACTAAAACAATCGCAATATCTTTTTAGACATTTACTATTTTTACAATTACAATGTTTTTTTTTTTATCGGTGTTGCTTAGATTTTCTTGATTACTATTATTGTTATTAATATGCTTTAATGTTAGTGGTTTTTGTTATTTTTTCTCATACTTTTTTTACTACTATATATTATAAATAATATTTTATTATTATTATTAAAATATTTGACTCTAAGTTTATTGTTATTAATTTTATATAAGTTTTTCATCTTTTTATTATTATTCTATTTATTAAAGCTGGTTTTAAATAATCTGTTAAGGTAAAATTTATTCATGTTATTGTTATTAAAAAACATTTTATTATAAGGGAATTTGTTATTATTGTAAAATTATTTATTATTATTATTATTGTTAGAGAAAATTTTATTGTTCTTATTATTGTAAAGGAATTTGTAATTATTCTTATTATTATAATAAAGAAATTTATTATTATTATTATTATTATTATTATTATTATTATTTTTTTATTTTTGTAAATCAACTTATTATTATTATTATAAATGAATTTATTGTTATTATTTTGGAATTTATTATTATTATTACGTTAAAGGAATTTATGATTATTCTTCTTATTATATTAAAGGTATTTATTATTATTATAAATGAACTTATTTCTATTATTTTAAAGGATTTTATTATTATTTTAGAGAAATTTATTATTATTATAAATGTATTTGCTATTATATTATATTTGATTACTACTGTGGTTAATTCTAAATTTGGAAATATTATTGTTATTATTTTTGTAATAATTTTTAGTGTTTTTATTATTATTAATCATATTATTATTATTATTGTTACATATTTATAGTTTTTAATGCAATTACATTTATTATTATTATATTTAATTTTGATATTATTATGTCTTTTATTATTAATGCTATTAGCTTATATTATTTGTTTATTAATTAAATTAATTTAAGTTAAAATCTGCAGTATTTTATATTTATCCTTAACTTTCACTTAAGTTTTGTATATATTTGAATTATGGATTATTTTAGAATTACATTTTCTCTTCTAAAGTTGATGAATTTTTACTTTGTTTATCATATTCAATATTTAGTCTTTATAAATCTTATTATTATATTATGCTATTATTATTATTATTATTATTATTATTATTATTATTATTATTATTATTATTATTATAATTGCTATTATTAAAATTATGAAGAATTTACTTAATAAGAATTAGTTTATTATATTTCTTATTAAGAAGGCGTCATATATTATATATTATTCATATAATCGTATTATTCATTATAGTATGGTTAGTAAATATAATTTTAATTTATATATTATTTGCATTAAATATTATTTTAATAGTAATTTTATTCTTAGCAATTTGGAATTTAAGCATATTAAGAACATTAAGGATAATAATTAAATTATTAATTTTCTACTTAGGGTCTTAATTTTTTATTTTTTTTTAAATTTTTTATTTTTTAAATATTTTACCCACAAAAATTCATTTATTTGTTATTTTATATTATATTATTCTATTAAGGAACGTATTAATTAAAAACTATTGGGGTTTAGAAGGAGTGAGTAAATCTTCTTTAATATATTCAGAATTAAAAAGTCCTTCATAATATGGAATGTAGTTATTTGTAAATTTTTAATTCATTTTTACTTTAAAATCTTTAAAAAAACGAATATTTATTTTTTTTAAATTATATTATTATATTATAATTAAGAAGAAGAAAAATAAAAAAATATTTAAATTTTATATTTTATATTTATTTTTTTTATATAAATTAATATCAAATATATTTTAAATAAATATACTATGTTTAAAAAAAAAAAATCTAAATGCGAATAAAATTATTAATTTTTTAAAAAATATATTAAAATTATATTTTATTGTAAATTTAGATAAAGATATTATATAAATTTATATTTTATAAAAATATTTATATATTTTTTTATAGATTCAATATATTTAAATTAATATGATTAAACAATAAAATTATAAAAATATAAATTTATTATTTAATTAATTAATAAAGTAAACATAATATATAAATTAAAATAAAAATATTTAAGAATTTAATATATTTTTTATATTAAATATTAATATTTTTTAAAAAATTACTTTAAATGTGAAAAAAAATTATATATATAAATAAATATATATATATATATATTTATATATGTATATATATATTTTTATTTTTTTAATTAGTTTAAATTTAAAAACAATTATAATATAATGTATATTCAATATTTTAAATAAATAAAATTTAATATAATAAAGTTCTAATTATTTGTTTGTTATGTATAATAATTTCCATTAAAAAATTAAAAATATTTAATTTTATATTTTTTTTTTATTTTATTTTTTTTAAGAAAAGAAAATTTTAAATATTATTATATAATTTTAATATTAATTAATAATAATATATAAATTTAAATTCTTTTATATTTAAATCTATCTATATATTAATTTAGTTAAAGAATAATATTAATTTATAAATATCTATTATTTTAAATTTAATTTTTTTATAATATATATTTAATTTTGTTAAAATCTTTTGTTTTTTAATTAATTAAACATTTTTTTTAATTATATGATTTAAAAAAATATTTATATACTTTTTCATTAATTAATTTATTTTGTATCTTTTATTTTTTATTAAATAAAAGTAGAAGAAATAGCTTTTTTATCTATTTTTAATGATTCATAATCATTTTCTATCTTTTTTTTTTTAAAAAAAAAAAATAATAATAAAAAAAAATATGTAAAAAAATTAAAATACATTAACAGGAAACTTTTTTCCTAAGTTTTATTTTTTAATAACAAAATTATGAAATTATTAATAATTTTTCAATTCTTACTGCACATAAATATTATTTTTAATATCTTTTTAATTATGAGGACACGTAAAAATATTTTAAATAATTGATTGTCTAAAATTTTTATTTCCCTTAAATTTTTTAAAATACGTGTTAACATTTTTGAGAATTTCCTTATTTTAATTTTCACTTTATTCATTATTTTATTACTAATTTTCTTAGCTAGTAATTTTATTTTATAATATTAAATTATTAATTCTCGATTCTGTTTTATCTTTTTATTTTCTTATAAATAGGGGTCTATTTCTTTTTTTTTCTTATATTATATCTATGTTTTATTAATTGTTTTCTTTTATTTATTGCTTTATTTATTTTTGTTTTCTAATTTAGAAATACCATTATTTTATTAATATAGTTGCATAATAATCCATTATTTTTAAATTCATGTGTTCCATACCCATCTCTCTTTTTTTTTAATTGGCTTTTTTTAATCCTTTTTAAAATAAAAGAAAATAATATAAATTATATATTTAAGCAAAAAAAATAAAAAATACCATCATATTTTTCTTCCCAGAATCTAATTAAATTTTCCATTACATTATTTTAGATTCTTTTTTTTTTTTTATTATTTATTTTATTTTGTTTTTTTTTAAAAAAAATTTACTTAATTTTATTATCAATAATATTATCATCTTTAATTTTGTTTTCCATAGCTTTTCTTATTATAACATTTCTTGATAATTTAATACAAAAATCACTAAAATGTACTTTTTGATTATAATATAATTAAATATTGAAATTTTTAAGTTTTTAGAACATTTATTTTTTAGTGATATATATTTTTTCTTAGTTTTAAAATTCAAAATCTAATTATTTTAATTTCCTTTATTATTATAATCATTCATTTATTTAATTTATAAATTTATATCTACACTTTCTAATCCAAACCATTAATTAATTTCCAAAAACAAAAAATAAAAATCATTAGGTGATATAAATCCAGTCCCAAACGGGTCATATTCTTACCATTTCTCAAGTATAAAATCAAGTTGATTTCTACTTATAATAGTTTCCGTTTATTTCAAAGTCTAAATAAACCCATCTATTACATAAGCCAAAAAAAGACTGGTAATAATGTACCTTATAAAATACACTATAATAATAAAATATGGATAACTAAAATAACTCCCACATCCATTAATTCCTTACTATTGTTATTCTTAGTATGTTTAAGATTTACAATTTAGATTGCCCTGTGCAAATTATATCATATATTTGTCCCAATTTTAATTTGTTACACATTCTAAAACTATTAAAATTGCTCCTTAAAATGTCTCAAAATTTAAATTATATTCATATTCTATTTATTCTGATTATTATTCATATTAATTATAGTCAGGTTTGTTATTGAATATTTTTATACTTGAAAACATATTCATGCCTAATATTGAAAATATAAAACTCATCAAACATATTAAACCTGTGATATTTAATAATGAAGGTAATAAATAGTATATTGTATCTATTATTACTTTTATTTATTATGATAACCTTATCTTTTTTGTTTAAAGCAATAAAATATTTATATATGTTTTTTTATTTTTACATATTTAACTATCTTTCCTAATCTTAAAGAACTAGTTATTATCGGTAGACAATAAAAAAAATTTAAATCAATAAAAAACGCAATTAATTATGAGATATCATTTAATACAAGAAGTAAAAAGTCAAACCTTTTATATTTATTAATAATATTTTTTTTTTTAAAAAAAAAAATACTTATTCCATGAATCTCTAAAATAATAAAATCCTAATCCATATATTTTAATAAAGCATTCAAAATGAAAAATACCAAGAAAACTTATATTAAATATATTTATAATATAAACACCTATTTCAGGAATATTTCTATAATAAAAAGCATTTACGGTAATATTAATAAGAATCGAAAACATAATCACTTTTTCAAATTTACAATTTGAAGCAATTAAATAACAAATTCTTCTATATTTTAAAGAAGGTTCAGGAATTTTAATCTTAAATCTACTATTTATCATAAACCTTTATATATCAACCCATTCTTATTATATTTTGGATAGATTTGTTTAACCAAATAAAATATATTTTATTCTATTAAGTTTATTTACAACTAATCCTCTATATAGATTTATTCCGTATATGTTTCCTATATAAACTAAAAAAAAATACAATATTGAATAATTATAATCATTTTTTATTATCGGCTGTTTATCTATTCCTACAAAATCTATAGAAGCCCACATTAAAGGAATCCAGTTTTCACCAGCCATAATCTTTTTTATTTTTATAATTTTTTTATTTTTTTTAACTTTTTACTTTTATCATATTTATTATTGAATTTTATATATTATCAAAATTAAAAAAATAGTTTCTCCATTTTCCATTTTAATTAATACAATCCTCTTTAGTATTTACTTTTCCTAATAATTCTTTTTGAGGTAAATTACAATAATAAAAACCTCCTTTAAATTTATCTACTAAAAATATTGATATTATCCAAAGTACTATTCCTGAAGATAAAATAAAACTTATTAATACTGGAATAGTTTAAAATAAACTATTTACTAATAACTTTAATGATTCGTTTCTTTAAACTAGCCTTAAAGGTCTTAAAACACGCAAGGCTCTTAATGATTATATTGATTTTAAAGTTTTATATTGAGATATTTCTGCTAAATCAATAATTGATGTCTTTTTTTTTTTTTTAAGAATTTTTTTTTTTGTTTATTACAATTAATATTGTTAAATCTAATATATTCCATTTATTTCTTAAATAAGCATTTTTGTTTTATTTATAATTAAAAATAAAACCTTATGCTATTATCTTAATAAAAGCTTCTATATAGAAAATAACTGTAAAAAATATATCTAAATTATGAAGAAATATCTTTAAGGCGCTATTATTATCGTTTAATGGATTATCAATTGCAAGAGAAATTGAACTGAGTATTATTAATACTTTATATTTTTTTGTTTAGTTAAATATATTTAGTTTAATTATTTTACTTAAAATACTATTATCCCAATATTAATTAGAAATCAATTATTTAGTTTTTATTCTAAATTAAGAATCTTTATGGAAAATAAAACATGAGCTATTTTTCATATATTTAATTAGGTTAATTATTTATTATTTCTTTATATATAAAAATTATATTTATAATTTAAAATAAAAAAGTACAAAAGATAATTTAAATTTCTATCTAATTAAATCAAAGGTTTATTATTCTTGCAAAATCTTATTTTTTTGTCTTTTTTATAATTAAAAAGAATTAAATTGTATAATTTTTTATAATCTTTTTTTATTTTATGAGTAGTTTATTTTTATTATTTATTTTCTATTATCTTATTACTTCCCATTAGTTATTAAACCTTTTTTTGTTTTATTATTAATATACAATATAATGTATATGTTACTTTATTAATCATATTATGAACTTTATTGATTTAATTTTTTTAATTTCTTTGCTTGATCAAATGATTAAATTATAATTGCAACAAAAGCATTCTAAAAAATAATTCTTCCTATAATCAATAGAATAATAAAATAAGGGTGAGAAATAAGCCCCCCTATACTTTTCACGCAATCATTCCAAACATTATTATATTAATCTCCTTATAAAATTACATATATAGATGTAAAAGATTCTTTAAGTGTATCGAAATTTAGACGTGGAGAGATACTTTTTTTTTATAAAAAAAAAAATTAAAACAATTTTTTATTAATCCTGAATGTATATACCCGTTTTCTAAATCTAAATCACCTGTTTCATTAAATTTGAGTTTACCTGCAAATAACCACATTCCAATAATTGAACCTGTATACATAAAGCATATTACCATTAATAACATATTAAATAGTAAAGGTATGCTATGATTTGCAGCTTCTATCAATATTATATAATCCGGATTCTTAAAATAAGTAAGGCTTTTTAGAATTTTGGTACCTTTAATAGCTGAAATAGGCTATTGTTTTTATTAAACTATATTTGTTATCTTATTTATTTTATTATTAAATAAAATAGTTTTTTTATTTTACAAAAGATGACAAATCTATAATAATTTCAATGTAAAAAATAAATTATTTCATTTATGCTTGGGATTATAATTAAATTAAATTTTTTATATCATCTATTAGAAATAAAGCGATAAAAAAAAGATTTGCAGTTTCTTATATATATATAAATATATATATATATATATATATATATATATATATATCTATATCTATATCTATATATATTTATAGTATTTTAACATATTTTTTTTTTAATTACGTAAAATAACTTATGTTTCTTTAATGTATTATGGGAATTTATTAAAACTTAAAATAATAAGGTTTGCCACAATACATATATTTATAAATATTTAAAAGAAATTATTATTTACAATTTTACTAATTATTGGTAATATTTTTGTTAAGCATAATTAACTTATATATCTTTATTAATAACTATATTATACATCATTATTATTTTTCATATATTATTTATATGCAAAAAGCTTTTATTTTAATTTAATATAATTTTTAATAAAAATAAATAAATAAAAAAACGTTATTTTAAAGATTTAAAGGAATAATACTTAATTGTTTTTTTCTAGAAACAAAACTTTAATTTGATTTATTTAAATTTTTTACAGTACTAGCAAATGATAATCCTTTTTTATAATTTGGAGAAGACAAATAAAATTAATTTTTAATACGATTTTATTAATAATTATTAAATAAATTATTATTTTCATAATATTCAGATGTTAATATATTTTAACTAATTAAAAAATATATAAATATATATATATATATATATATATATATATATATTTATATTCATATATATTTAATAAATTATTAATATTTATATTTTAAATGTGTTTTTATATACATAT